TTTTTTTTACAAATATTACGGTTTCTCCTGTCGCATGCATTTATTGCAAACCATCCCTGGAGTCAAATAGAATTTTTCATGGATTTTTAAGTATCTCGTAGACCTTCAGTATCCTGCTCGTAGAAATCCTATAAATTTCAGAGCCTCGGTCGTGTTGACGTCACTAGACGGTACTAGAACATCTGGTGAAGGTCATTTAGTTGGAGCTGCTCGACATCCCTTTACCTGCCTTGCGTTCAGCTCCTGTGGACGGTATATTGCTACCGGCGAGGTATGAATTTGGTATTATTGAACATATCAAAGGGAATGAAAAATGTATTGCATTTGATGTAATCACATCACTGCCCAAGAGTAAAATACGTGAGAGTTAAGAATTAATTACTTTGAATGGTCCAGAAGCCACGCATGTTATCTCGATTTTACTCGAAAAACTATCTGAATGCTTTCCACTGGACTCACATTTCTGGACTGAAAACTTCTTCAGTTGTGCCCTGGCTTGTATTGTAGCGATCGTTTATCCTATCACCAGAGTCTCGATCACGAACAGAAGCTCGTTGGAAAGGGTCTCCCACCTTTTGCGTACTGATTTACGCGGCGAATGAGTTTAAGTGCCGCGCTTGCTTCGCTATTCATCCTGCATGAATAAGCACAACGAAATCGTTTTGTACGGCCTGATTTCCTCAAAAGTTTGGTAGTTCGTCCAAGCGTCACATTAGCTAAGTGGCCGCCAAAAGTTTTGCGACCTGAGAAAGGAGCTCACGGTCATTTCGTGTGCAGAGAAAATCATATGTTAACAAAACGATTTTGTGGTCACCATCTAGTGATGCACGGGTAAACGGTAATGTAAAGACCCGTCAAAGGTGTGTTAATAAGAAGAGGACGAGCACTTGAAGGGTAGGATGAATTTGAGAGGCTACAAGTTCTTTTTTGAGCTTTTGAATAGATATACAGCAAAGATGTGGTACAACGATGACTACGGCGGAGCCTTTACCTCGTCACGGGACCACTAGCCCACTACTATTACTACTAGAGAACCACGTCTGTGATCGGAACATGTTCGCGCTGATCTCTCTCATTTTTTCGAGCAGCGAAATGATACCGAATTGGTCTGGAAGGCCAAAAACGTAGATTGGTGCACTGACCAGGTCGTGTAACTTGATTCGTTGCGCATTCAAAACGGCTTCAGTATAAATGGAGGCGTAGTTGCATTCTTGAAAAGATGGTAAACACTCGAAACTTTTTTCTCTCATATACATCCTTATTTGAACCTTTTCTGGATATTCTTTTTCTTTGGGGTCGAATTGCGGTAGAACCCCCAGGAGGTTGCACCGAATCATTTCCAGTATAGTTTTTCCGTTTATTTTTATCCTGGAGGAAGTTACCAAGCGCTATAATCCCATCTAGTTTTGGAACAAGTAGTTTTTTCTATAACATAGATATTTGGTGATATCTCAAAATCAACAGCACAATTTTCAGTCTGGTCATCAACCTCACGTTCGAGTATGGGAGCTCCGAGACGACGTGGGAAATTTCACCGGGCAGGCTATTCGAAATTTTCCCTTTCACTCAAACTCAATAGTTGCTGTTGTGAGTTTGGATCCACAATTGTCGTATTATATATTTCTGCTCCTTTGTTTTTCTGTAGATTCGATTACATTTGTCCCGGATTCCTATCTCAGGTGTACTTATTTGTATGTATAATCATCTCGACTTACTCTTTTCTTCTTCAGCGGTTCGTCCCTGGGACAAATTTGCTCATATCCGTTGGTTGCCAGCATGATGCCACAATATGTGTTTGGGACTGGCGGAGCGGATCGAAGCTAGCCACAGGAAAAGTCACAGCTGTTGTAAGTTTTCATTAATTACCTGTAGCTCATTATGGGAGTCACAATATACTCTCCTGCCTTCCTTTGCGAGAGAGTGTTGCGTTAAGCTAATCATAGTATGTGCTAGTACTGTATGTGAGCTTCACCTTACCAGTTTAAGGTTGGTAACCCACTCTCCTACAACTCAGCGAGTTTTTGTATTCATAAGTTTCTCGTTTGACGTCATGCCATTCATTCTCTCACTTTTATATCAGTGGAATGTAGTACGAACAACTTTTCAAGTTTTTTCCGATGGTAGGGAAAGTGTGTTCTTTTGTGAGGCGCTCAGTAATCCTTCTTGCCATATTATCGATATTGCATAGAAAGAGGGATCGGAAATTATTATATCTCCCTTCTCCTTAACTTGCCTTCGTGAGAAAGATGTGGAAAGTGTATCCCTGGTCTTTTGGGACTTTTCCTGTAACTGAGTTGCTTCAGTTTTGGAATCCATCAGTTTAGGCTTGACGCTTGTTTGAATGGTTCAACGCAGTACTAATAGAACGTAAAGGCGCGGATTCTCAAGAAAATAAGTTTAGGTGTTACTGTACTTTGCTTAAAGAGCAGTTTTTTTGTAGTCTGTAGTTACAAAACATTTATTTGATAAATTAAAGCAAAGCAAACTTAGTGTTTTAATTTTTTCGTTAAAAGTTTGAACAGTTTCAAAGTTGTGGATTACAGTATCAGGTTGATTTCTAGGTTTTAAGATGGTTTCTAAGTTCTGAGAAATTTACAGCAGCGGATTTTTAAGCTCAAAGTTTCTATTCAGGTAAATGCTATTGCCATTTCTCCCGACAACATGATGTGTGTAACTGTGGGCTCGAAGCATGTTAAATATTGGCATCTTCCTGCTGGTGATTCTCAGCACGGTGCTGGGCTACAGGTAATTTATTCTCACGATGCAAACGTTTCCTCTCGACTCTTTCATTGAACTTACGTTAGAAAGGCTTACTTCCTGAGAATCCAGCTTTTTTTGGTTACACCTATGCTGGTGACATGAATATCTTTGACCAATTTTTAAACAACTGTAAGGAAAGAACTGAGCTAGTAGGGTGTTGAAGTGGTAGGTTTTCGGAAAAAATGTTGGCATCTGATGAGAGAGTTTTGGGAAGGCGGAAACACAATCTCGAGTAAAGTAGCCTCGTTTATGTGGTGGTGGTGGTGATGGTGTAGGGTAAATTTGCGTTGACTGTACGTATAGGATAATTCGTATTCAAAGGGTATTAAGCAAGGTCCAGCAGCTTTCACATGTCTCTTCTGTGGGTACCGTCCATCAGAATCTGAAATTGCTGGAAGTTTTTGGTCGCTAGGATGTAAACTTTTTCTCGTCCCTCACGAAACACTGAGGTGTTCATGCATAACCGCATGGAAAGCATAATGATTCTCAGAAAAAGAAATCTGTGAATTGATCTTATTCATTACAGTCACGCTCTGCGATTCTTGCCGACCGACGAAGTTCGATATTCGTGGACGTTGTCTTTTTAGATGCAAATCGAGTTCTGTCAGTTACAGAAGATGGAGCGCTAGTGGAGTTTCTCAACAAAAAGGTGGTATTTGGATGTGAAACTTTAATTGGAACTCTAATTCTTACTACTAACTAATCTATTCTAATTTACTTAAACTCTAATTGGAAAAAGAAAAACTTCGAGAAAAACGGGTTCACCAATGCCCGTAGTTGCATATTCGAGTGGCCTTTTGAGAACCTTCACTTAAGAGCTACTACGAAGGTGATACTGACTTGCGAGTCCCCGAAAGGTGAAGATATGAATCAGGGCAAAATAGATTTCGATGAGGGAAGAAATGATGCGGATTTTTGAAGGCCAACCAATGAAAAACGTGCCGAGAGCGGATTAGTTTTCTGGTTGGCTAAAGTCTCAAGCGGGGTCCCACTGTTCTATGTAATAAGAAATAGCCAATGCACTTGAACCGTGAAGCATAAGGAGCTTCAAAAATTGTTGATATGAGAGCATCAGTCTAAGCTCGTGTTTGACCGCATAAAAAGATAAATCTGGGAAAATTATCTATCTATTGAACTGAAATTTTTTTCAGTACGTGAAGACGTACCGATTTGACGATCCAAATTTACCGCTGTGTCTATCGGTCACCAGGGATGCAGTTGTGGTAAGTTTTTTTGCTAAATTCTCTACTACGGTTAATTCCCCAGTTTTCTGAGCTCACTATAAATTTTCAGCTTGGTTGCACAAATGGTGTGATCCGTCTTTACGAAAAAGATGACTTGAGAATGCGATGTCGATTACCTCATCCATCCTTTATCGGAATGGATCCGGCTGTCGCAAGTACAGCCGAATTCCTCGAAGTTCATCCAGACGGCGTAAGGTAAACCTTTTTCGAGTTTTGCTAGTATTCCAGCACTTGCTATCTTTACTACGTTTATGAAAAGGAGCGTTGTCGGCGTGGAGGTATTTGAACCAGCAGTTTTTGATGGGCTGAAGAGGGTTCTCTCTGTAGAATACCTTTTGTGCAAACTAAGCCTACACCAAATCTGCATGAGGCTTACACTACCGGGAGAAAGCCCGCTATTTGTTTTTTGTATTCTCTTAACAACTTGGAGCAACAAAAAGGACTTTTACATTTTTTCATTAGAGGTCAGGATGTATTTGATACTACACTGCCCTCAGAACGAATTTACGTTTATATGCTGAATATGCGATAGAACTCTTAAATATACAGCAGTGGTCAAACTTTGGAAACTTTTTAATTTCTCGAAGAGCGCGGCTAGTTGAGCTCATAATTATCGTCAGGTTACATATTAGATATAAAATCATGTTGGAAATATGGCATGCAATGTGGTTTTACGAAAAACAGAAGTCTGATTCCTATAATAAGAAAAGTTCGCGTCAGATGGTTGGAAACTCGCTACCTACCATATCGTTTTAGCTTCTATTTGTCTAGGTTGGTGGATTTTTTGTAATGTTTAATCGAATCATGGTATATTGGGCGGTTTTCAGGTGGGATCAGGTAAAGAATTTCCAGTATCCGTCCAGGAAGCAATTGTTGAAGCCATTCGTTCCGGAACGAAGATAAGCGTGCTTTCCCAGCAATATAATCTCGCTAAAAGCGCAGTTTCCAAAGTTTTCAAGCGTTAACGAGGCAGAAGAATTGTGATGAGGAAGTCTCGCTCCGGAAGATCACGAAAGACAACACCAGGAGTGGGACAACACCAGGAGGGGACTCTATAATTCTTAAGACTTCGATGGGCGATCCGCGCGCGTCGGCTTCGGATA